CAAAAACTTCATTACTGCCCTGTGCTCAATTTTCTCCATGTTTATGTTGAAACTGGAGAACAACATACCCCGATTCACTTACAGTGCGCGGAAATTCCTCACAATTTACGTGCATTCTAGGAAGATGATTGTTAGCTTTCACCCCAAATTTCAGCTTTCTACAACAACAATTTAAAACAAAATTCCCCAAGCAAATGCAAAACATCCAAGAGCAATCATGCATAACAATGATTTGTGAAGACAGCCAAGAGACGTGGATTAATTGTTGTTAACTTTCATCTTTTGTCTATTTTCCATTGGCATAGCGCATCCATCCCATGGTCTCATGAACTAACAGTCGAGTTCCTCACAGACCAAAAATCTATTTTTAAAAAAAGAAAGAAAGAATAAAAAAAGAAAGTAAAAACAAAAACAAAAACAAAAAACAAAAACAAAAAACAAAAACAAAAACAAACAAAAACGTCTCAAGCCATGTTGCCCCGCCAGGAAATCACTGGCGCGTGATGGATCAGGCAAAAAAAAGCAACAGATTTTGGTACGCCCCTCGCATGTCTCCTGTCTCCAGCGTCTTGTCGTAACGGGCAACCAAACTGCATCAAGTACAAAGACAAACGCTTTTTCAGTTTTGCTCTACCATTCAATTGTATCTCCAAAGTTGTTGATTCTCGGGTTGGTTGATTTAAATAGTGTTGTTGGAGGCGTAAAACTTCGGCAATTACATTTTTTGGCTTTCCCCTATTTGTACTCTCAAGCATAACAACATGTTATTTTTGCGTGTCTTTGTGATATTTCCTGCCTGCTTTCTTTCCAATTTGCATATACTATTTATTTTTAATTGTCTGCTTTATAAAAGGTCTATCTTGTCTGTTCCTATCCATTACATTTCTCCTGAGATAGATAGGCCATTCCAAAATGCGCAAAGTTTTGTACGTGAAACTGACGCCAGTGTAATGGGCTGACTCATGTCACGCTCATAACCGTGCCTGACCTACAACAGGGAACTGCTGCTTTTTCTTTCCTGATCCTTATTATTGTCATTCTCCTCTACTTCTAATGTGTATGTTTGTCACTCTCTTGTGACCTGCTTTTTCCGGGGTGCCTTGAAAGTCGGAGCAGACCTTGTGCTCTTGAAGCTAGAGAGGTGAGCAGTCTAAGTCTGACTGATTCCCTGTAAAGACTTCTCTGTTGACACCAACCCCTTGGTGCTCATATGACCTTATGCAGTTGCGAGCGCCGTAAAACACTTTACAAAAACAAAAAAAATCTCTCTCATACACACACACACTCTCTCTCTCCTCTCACTCACACTCTCTCTCTCTCTCTCTCTCTCTC